TGGTTGTAGATCTGTGCGTGTGTTTTTTATGTGTGTGCGTGTGCATGTCTGGCATGCATCCAGGTGGTGGAAGTCAGAGACGGTGGGGGGAGATTTTTGTTTTAATGGTCACAGAGGAGGTGCTACTGTAGATGCAGGAGGGACTCCAGTTATCGCTGGTCTTAAGTTTAAAGGTCCAGTGTGTAACATTTGGGAGGGTCTATTGGCAGGAATGGAATATAATATGCATAGGTATGTTTCTATTAGTGTATAATCACCTGAAAATGAGAATCATTACGTTTGTTAAAATGAGCGTTTTATATCTGGGCGGCTGGGGGTCGCCTTCCATGGAGTCTCCCATGTTGAACTGCCTTGTTTGTTGATTCTTGTTGATGCTGTAGAAATTGTGTATGCCATTTGTCACAGCTCTTTATTTTTTCATCAAGAAAAAGATGCACAACTTGGGCACAATTTTGTTTTTATCATGCAACACACTAAATGATCCATCCAGATGGTTCTTTGAGCTCCACAGACTCTGGTTAGAAGGAAAGTATAGTTATCATATAGAACAATAAAAGTTGTTTTGCAGACGTTATTAAAAGTAGTTAAAGTAGTTCTCAACCAATTACAACATTAAAATGTTTCTCATATGCACAGTATATGATCCTATTTATCTCTAGTATGATAAATATGATAATACAGCAGGCCATTTTGCATAATAAGTACTTTTTATATTCTCCTAATAGTGCCTATGTTCATGTTAAGTAACGTTTTGACTGCACACTTTTACTTAAATAAAGGTTTCGAATACTTACTTACTTACTTACTTACGAATTACCACTGGTAATGTTTGATGTGTGCATGTAGATTTGCAGCAATTGGGCCTCTTCCACTTTTATTATGCAATCCTTCGCCTCTGGGTCATATACTCCAGAAAGGAGAAAACATGTCTAAAACTGTGTTTCACAATCTTGCTTCTGAAACAGAATATATTTATTTAAAAATATAATTTGCTATTTTTGTATGTAGAATGTCCTCCCACCATAGAAGCCATGGTCATACACATGTCAAAATATATATATGTATAATACTAAAATGAGATGTGCTTTATTTGTAAACTACACTTTCTTTTATTTTGGGTGGAGTTCCTCTTTTGATTAAGGAAGAGCTCCCTTCCGCCTTGTTTGGAAGATACACAGATAGAGGTATGGAGTTATATTCAGAATACATAGTGCGGGTAAATACAGAATATCTTGAACGTGAAATCTATACACAATACAGCACGAGGCAGCAATGATTTATTTCTGCCCCAGGTCAGATACGTACTAAAAAAACATATTACAGGCTTTTTGGGTGGAGATGTGTACACCTTATTGTTTCCACCTATAGGTCTATAACAATGGCAGGAAACTGATATGTGTCTACAGTGACATACAGTGTGAGTGTGTCTCTAATGCTTGCAGTGTGTTTACCTGTGCGGTGGACACCTGACACCTGGCATAGAGGTCAAACCTGTTCTCACTACTCCTGCGTGTGTGTTTGTGCACAAAAGTGTGTTTGGGTGAGAGCAGTGTTGGGAGGGATGGGGGGTCAGTTGCCTGAGGAGCTGAGGATGATGGGATTGCTTTGTTGTTTAAACAGGCACTATCTGTGGGTCTATGTGTGTGTGAGTGCTGTTACATGCAGTGATGCCATGTTGAAATGATCAACAGCGGGCATGGACAGAGACACAGTACAGATATATCTGGTGCAGGGATATCTAGTTTTATGATGCTATTCTGCAGAAGATCACTCTGCTTATAAAAATCCAGAATCTAATTAAAAATATTTAGGAAATAAGGTGTAAGCATTCAAAATAGTATTTTTTTTTATTTTGTGCCATTTTGAAGACATTTATTAGTCTTTGGCTGTAATAAACATCAATAAACACATAAAAATATGTACAAAGTATACAGAAAATGCAAGAAAAAATGTGTGTGTGTGTGTGTGTGTGTGTGTGTGTGTGTGTGTGTGTGTGTGTGTGTGTGTGTGTGCGTGCATGCTTGTCATTGTCTACTGGCAAGGAATCTGATGAGGTTAAAACAGAAAGCGAATGAGAGAGAGAGAGAATCCATTGTATTAAGTGTTAAAATGTGGCATCATCAGCTCCACAGACAGATTCCATCCATTCTTCACATGCCTGAACCACACTATATGTGTGTGCGTTCCTATGAGTACGTATATGTCATGTGTATGAGTATGCTGTGTACAAACGTGAATGTGGGCAAACATTCTGAGACCAATTTGTGGTCGAACGAGAATTTTTGTCCATGGTGACCTGCTACACACAGCAACCCGAGCGGGAGTCCTGTGGCTTTTTCAAAGAATCCTAATAGCTTCCCTGCCTGCTGGACGCTACAAGAACATGCATACGAAGAGGGGTCAAGCTGTATCATAGTAACTGACTCTTTTTTAACCCTCAAAGTCTAACATGAATCTTGTTGTAAACTGATGGATTCAGTCCCGTGTTGTGGACGCCTGCAAAACGCAAAAGAATGATGTGCTACACAACAAGCCTTGACAATGCCCTCTTCATTGCCTCGTGCCTGTCCTGACTAACTGTCTCCTTATGACCCCGCAAAAGAATCCCATCCCGTCACAATGGCAACATCGGACCACTGGCCACAAACATCCTGTCATCCTGAGGTCATAATCTAAACTGAGGCCTATAAAACAGAGCTAACTTTTGCATGTTCGCTAAAAGGCCTTTTTCACAGCAGCCATTCTGACATGATAAGTATGGTCAACAATGATACTAATTAAGTGAAACAGAATCAGGGTGCCGCTATTGTGCATGTTGGCTACGCTAAATGGAACAGAACCCTCAAAAAATCCTCCTCAAACATGTATAAAGAAAAGCTTGGAACAATAATGTGTCTCATATGTTCTGCAAAACATTTTTTTTCTGAATATGCACATTTTGTTGATGTCAAATGTTTCCTTGGTAGACACAAGATGTCTTCTACTTCATTGTAAAGTCCATTCTCAGTGTGTGTGTGCACCGGTGGCTTCAAGTTTTACCATCACACCTGTATAAGTTGCATACTGGACCAGGATTGTCTTTCAAACTATTTGTGATGTCACAAATCATGCCTCTAGGCCCCGCCCCTTAACATCTGATTCTCAATCAAACAGAGAAACTTTCCACTTTCAGCAGGTGAATGTGAAAACATTCTTCTAGTGTCAAACGCTGCACATACATCATTCTGCACAATGAAGCTCAAACATCACACTGTAAGAACAAAAAGAACAACATATATTTTACAGGAGGGGGACTTAAGTTTGTATCATTGGTTACACCTGTGTTTGCCCTACTATTTCATGTTAAAAAAATTACGTAAAACATGTCTATTGTTGAGTGTTGATTTTTCAGATATATGTTATTTGCAAACGGCAAGTCTTGATGGGAGAGTTGTTTGTCGACTATGCCCCGAAGCTGATATGTCTTTAGAGATGGGTGTGGCATTGTATAAACACAGGCTTTTTACACCTTCAGCTGTAAATGAATACAAACAAATTTGACACTGGGAACAGTAAAAAAAACTAAACCCTGAGAATTATTCAGAACAAAATGTTCTTCATAATAGCACTGAACAAGGAAATCATTAATCAGATTCTTGCCAGACCTTTATTGTGGCCGGTTGGTCCTAGTGAGACGATTAAAAAGACACAGTTGTCAGAAAGAGGCTTATTTGCTTTATGGTCACAAGTTGAGAGATGAGAAGATTGATATCATTCTATATGAAGCTAGCAGCCACTCATCACCGGAGCGGCAGGTGGATGTTGTAACCTTAGGACAGAACCAGACTACCGGTTTCTCCCTGTTTCCAGTCTTTACGTTAAGCTAAGCTAACCAGCTGCTGGCTTGTATTTACCAAACAGACATGAAAGTGGTATCTATCTTCTTCACCTCACAAGCCTTTTCCCCAAAATGTCAAATGTTCCTTGAACTCGAATCTTGCAGAAAAAACTTACAGAACTTAGACCACAAAACCACATTGGACAATTGCACACCGAGCAAAAAACACAAAGCTGTGACGAATCAGAAAGCACGAGGAGTGGGGTCATTGCAAAGTCTGGAGCACTCTGACCAAATATGTTCTTGTGCGTAACAATGACAGCAGAAAATGCCATAAAATTAATTTAAGTGCAGCAGCTGGTGGGGCTTGACGGGTGAGGGCAGAGGGTAGAAAAGCGAGGGAGACGAAAGTAGAAAAGAGGGACAGAACGCCTCTTTTTTTCCCTTAATATGTTGATTGCTGGAGCCTTTTTGGTGAATGCGTGTTGCTGCAGGCATTGAAGCAAATCACGTGGCATCTTACATGTCTGGCAGCAGTTGTGAAGAGGAAGGTTTTAATTACAATGAGCTGTGACAACCAGCCAAGAAAAGAGTGGCATCTACAGAAAACCCCAAACTTTCTCAACAGAGGATCCAGATGAACCTCTCTTGGTGCTGCCGACCCCTGCCCTGGGAGGCGCTGTGCAGAAACACCTCAACAATAGATAAAGCTGAATATAAGAATGGAGTAGAGCTGTAGTAATGTCAAGGGTTACAAACACAGGGCAGTGACCTCACTTGTAATATCCCTCCATGCTTCCTCCATGCTTTCCCCTTCATGACTTCTCATCCCTTTTCATCTTTTTTAATTTCCTTTCGTCTCCCTCTCTGTCTGACCTCTGCTTCCCTCTGTTTCCCCCGTCTGTCTGCCATGCGGAGGAAACGCAGGCTTTTTTAAACTTCCCCTCTAGCTTCCATAATGATTGTTTTTTTTTTTGTTTTGTTTTTAATAGATAATTTTCCCGCCGAGATAGTACCTCTTGTCACCAATCCTCTCGCGTGCCATTGCTACACACACGCGCACACACACACACACACACACACACACACACACACACACACACGCCTCACCACCCATATTAAATCCGAAACCACACCCAGGTCCAGCTCTCGAGCACCTCCCACGCGCGCTCACGACTGCCGGGGGAACGTGCGTTTCTAACTTTTTTCCCCCTCGGACCGACTACCAGTAAGATTTCCCGGCTGCCGCTTTCACACCTTTGGTGCGGGTTTCTTGCCATACTTTTTCAATTTATCACCCCCCTAATTTCACCTTTCACGTAGACGTACAGTCACGTCTGGAACTCTACGCGACTTTTGTTTTCTTCCAGTCCAAACTCGGTGAGTAAAGTTAGTATTTTTGTTTTTTAGTTTGCATATTGTTTGAATGCTGCACGGGACTTTCTATATGGGGTTCATGCCCCATTCAAATCCAGTGTGGATGTGAAATGCCTCTTTAACACATTAATAACAATATTATGTTGTATAAGTATGTTTGTGCTGAGGTTTTAGCTTATTTACTGCTCTGGGGAGGTTGTAGCTAGCTTTAAATATAAATAAAATAATCCAGTGTCTTTAAAAATGAAGCTGTATTTATTTAGGTTGTTAATTTATCATAGAGTAGTTTTAATCTTGCTGTCGTGTTTTAACCTCTGGATATTTTTACACATATCACAACTTCTGCTGAGTGACTCTAAGTTTCATACGCTGGAAATGAAAGGGGCGTTGTCAGCCACCAGTGTGTGTGTGTGTGTGTGTGTGGGGGTGTGTGTTAATGTATCTGTCTGAGTGCAGTGAATGAATGTTTAGTGCGTTGCGAGGGAAGATAAACTGTTCTTTTTTTTTCAATGGACACAGGAAATGTGTGCGTGCCTGTCTGTCTGTGTGTGTGTGTGTGTGTGTGTGTGTGTGAGTGTCCGGGATTTAAAGTGTAGGCTATTTGCTGCTCCTTAGACCTTTCACATAACATGGCATTAGTTCATTTGTTGCTACATTTATTGAAGTTCACTGGTGTTTATGTAAGTTTTGGAGTGTTTTAAGTAGGAGGAGTGCTAATTATTGAACTGAACAGAATCAGATTATCACAGACATAAAATTTGTTCCCAGCCAAGTAGTCTATTGCACCATATGGCTGACCCCCCCCCTCTTGCATATGTGACTGAGTTGCAATTTAGTTTTGATGGGGCAGTTGCATCTTCCCTTCATGTGGAGAGGCGCCCTCTTGTGGTTTAAATAAACAACTTTGTCTAAGTTTTCCTTTAAGGAAGGCGATTGTTCAGACTGGGCTGCAGGAATGGAGACTCATCCTCATCAGACAGTGTTTGCATGAAGAGTGTGGTCTGAAGGAATCCCTGCCACTTTGGCAATGGTCTAAAGATTAAATGCCATATGAAATGGGGAGGTTACAAATACACAACAGTCTATTGGAAGCAAATTGGCATCCCACTGTTGACATGCAGTTACAAAGTGTCTCTCCCAGTGCATGGAAAAAGGCAGAGATAGATGAAAAAAGTAAAGAAAGGAGATTATACTGACACAGCTGAACATGACAGTGTCATCCACTCAAACACCAATTTCAGAAGTGAGCTTCTTGTGTGTCCTAGATCTACAGGAGAAACTTTGTGAAAACCGGAAATGAACCCCCCCCCCCCAAATCCTTTTTATATTACATTACATCAACTCTGTAAAAGGTCAAACAATATTTATTAAGAATTTTATAAAATGTAACAGGAGAATGAATAGAAAGCCAGTCTTGTCAGTCAAATACTGCAGACCATCTTCTCCCATCCTCTTCCATCTTTTAATCAGACTTTTTATGAAACATAAAGAGTAAAGTAATGTGTGAAGCAACCATGAAGGCAGGCTACATGGATGGATGGATGGATGGATGAATGAATGAATGAATGAATGTTTAAACTCGCTGCATTTAATGCTGCAACATTTTCACACCTGTTTCAAGCTTCAAAGCAGGGCTTGTGGCCTGTTTACGGCCTCTAGTTGAAGTGTGATCCATGCAAATTCTATTTTGCAAAGTCATTTCTCTATCTTTAAGCATTTTCTAAAGCCTTTTGTGCTTTTCCTTTTTCCTGTGACTGTTTTGAATGTGACGTGACACAAGGCCTGAAGGTTTTAAAGGCAGACTGACAGTGTTAATTTGAAAGTATGTTCAGCCGCTGTGAATGCAAAATGGCGAGAGAGGTGTGTGTTATATTTATACGAGGAGGATTATTAAGGGAGGTTAAAAGGCGCTGACAGATAAACTGCCCCTCCAACCCCCCCCACACCATAAAACCATGTTAGTGTCCAACATGAAGGAATTCCTGTGTCAGAGGGACGTCTTTAAACCCAGCAGGAAAACAGTTGTGTGTCTGTGTGTGTCTGTGTGTGCATTTGTAAATGTTTTAGGCTCCTCATTCCTGAAGGAGGCATGTAGTACACACCATATTCCTTTGCGTCCCTGTGATGAACACTGTATGTGGGTACATTCTCCCCTAGCATTCAGCAAAACTTAACATAGCTTAAATATAATGTAGTATAAAGTTGTATTTGTATTTAACTGACAAATACTAACTACTTTTTAAAGTTTTTTGCTAATATGTATTTTACACTTGCTTTGGCAATGTAAACATCTGTTCCCCATGGCAAAATAAAGCCCCTTTGAATTTGAATTTGTATTTGAAATAGGAAATGTTTTATGTTATTAGACTTGTGTTGTCAGTAATAAAACGGTCTCATGACCACGAAAAATGATGTCTGTAAGACAGTGTTGTTGTCAATTTAGGCTCTGAGTGCATGATTTGTATGCTCTTATAACCCAAAAATACGTTTATAATTAAAATATGCACCACCCTTTTCGAGAAAGGGTTTTTCTTTTTTTTCAGTAAAAAGGCTGCATTTGATGAAGACACATGAAACGGGACAGCCATATTTGTGCAATATTTGGTCCAGAAATGTGGACTGCGGTGGATACATCCCCTTAATTGGGACACAGCTGTCATCCTCTGGTGACACCCTCAGGCCAAACTGTCAAATAATTTGCCTTACTAGTGGTGAAGATGTGCAAATAGCAAAGTTGTCTCAGCCTCTTTCATCCAGTTTTGCTTTGTGCTTCTCAAGGCTGCTAGCTGGTTTCAGTGTGTATAGGCAGCTGGTACTTGTCTGTTAATGGCCTTGTTACAGCATGTAAATCTGTAATGTAAAGGGTTATAGCTGTCACTATGACTGTCCACTCATACATTTAAAAAAACAACCTGCGTGTGAACATGTGTGTCTGTGTTTGTCCACTTGGTTCGCTCAGGGAAGATGTGTCACATAGATGTTCAGTTGAGTTTTTATGGATATGGCTCACTGTCAACACATGACACACCTAAAAACTCCAATGCAAAAGAAATTAGCTCGAAAAGGGACAAATTGGACACTTTTATGTGCGGTTATTGCAAATTGTAGCTTTTTATTGTTGTTCTGCAGAGTGTTGAGTGCTTGAACTCAAATCTATAAAAGAGTTATGTACTCATTATTAAAAAAAACAAAACAGTTTTGACCTTATGGAACAAATGTGAGGTATCAGTTAAAAATGTTGCATTAGTTTAAACTTGTGCTATGAATATATTAGAAGGGTTTAGGCAGAACAAAATAATGCGAGACTAGGTATCCCCTGGTAGTTAATCCCAACAACTGTTCCAGACTGAGGGTTTAGAGGAGGAAATGTTGCATATTGAGTCTCGACTGTACGACCTCATAAGGGGCCAGAGGGCTCCACTGGAAGCCTTCTCTCTTCCTCAATCAGTTTTTCCATGGCCAAAGACAGAACGAGAGGGAGAGAGATACAGAAAAAGAGAGAGCGGAACAGTGAGAGAGACGGGGGAGTGAGATTCAGAGGCCCAGTTAAGTCTGCGGCTTTGTGTTTTATGAAAAGAGTAAAAAAAGGACATTAAAAGTCAGCATTTTCCACCAGGCAAGGGAATCAGTCGGCACACACACACACACACACACACACACACACACACACATACACACACTTGCACTCTTGCACTGAGTCCCCCAGCCTCCTATTATAAGGCTGAGTGGAGAGGAGGAATGGCAGCATTTGTGCCTGTTTGTCAGTGTGTGTCTGTGTGTGTGTGTGTGTGTGTCAGGCGAGGTGGCTGGAGTCTGACAGAATCTACCAGCCTACCTATGAGATTACACAAAACTACAGTCTTGTTATGTTGTTATGTTATGTCCATGAGCCGACACAAAGGAAAACAGTGACAGTGAAACATAGGATAATGTGCTCACTGTGCAGTGACATGGCATGTGGTGTAATGCTGCTGTTGGGGAAAACGCTGCTTCAGCTTTACCGTCTTTCCTTCTTTTAGTAAAGTACCACATTTGCGTTGTCACTTGGATATGTAGAATCTGAAGCTGAATCTAAAGCTCCTGAAACACAGATATAAACCCACTTTTTTTAGCTCTGAAAATATTACCCTCACAGTGAAAAATAATAGTTTGCAGGCTCTGTATGTTTACTAATGACCTGATGAATGATGACTATAGGATTGTCACTAACTGGACTGTTTCCCCTGATTGACACGCTACAGCTGAGGAAAATACTCCTCACTGTGCGCATTTGTCTTTGATGATCGATGAGGCATGAAGATCTGTGAAATATTAGTGTTACGCATGCCAGAGTAGCGGGGCTAACATACACAGCATACATGTGGATATGTGCTCTCTCTCTCTGTGTGTGTGTGTGTGTGTGTGTGTGTGTGTGTGTGTGCAGCTGTTGCCTGGTGTCAGAGGTGAGAATCAGCGCTCTCACACTTCACTATCAGCGCTGAGTGAAGCCCCTGCAAGGCAACACCATTCCCAAGGATCCCTGGGGAATACAGGGCTCCACGTTTAAGTCAATGTTTGGTTTATTACTCAACAGCATAAGATACATTACCCATTTAAGAGGATTGTTATTATGTTTAAAATTGAATTTTTATTAAGTTTGTTCAGTAAAATTAAAGTAATGGCCAAAGGGATGATTCAACATCTACACAGAGTTTACTTTACTTCAATTTTTGTCACCTGACAGATGATGACGATGATGAGTAATGACAATAATAAATCAGCATAATTGTAGCTTTTGGATAATTACCCTTTTGTATGATCATTACAGTTGGGATAATGCGAGTAATCTTTTTATAACACAAACACACACAAAGGGGGCATGTATACATTTAATTTGCACGAGGGCTGCTCTGTCACTCACAAGGCTTTCATGTCTGCACTCAACATAGTTTGAAACTTTAATCATCCGAGCGTCTGTCTGAGAGTCTCTCATTTTTTTGTGAGTTTCTTGGCTGGCTAGATGTTTGCGGTTTAGTGTAGTTTATATGTGTGTAGATGAGAGTGTGTGCGCATTTGCGCTCATGTTTTTGTTTTTCTCTCCCCTCCACTTCTCTCCAATGGGGTTCTCTGTCTCCTCCCTCCCTCCCTTTCTCTCTCCTCCCTTTACTCTTCTCTTTACTGAGACAAGAAGGCAGCTGCAAACGGAATCAGATCCAGCTGTGTGTGTTGTGTGTGTGCGTGTGTGTGTACATGTCTGGGAGATTATTTGCTACCTCCAAAGAATGTTCCTGCAGGTCGGATTAGACTTAAAATCCCAAAGACCTGCTTTGTAATTGATGCTGTGAATACTGTTTATCGCTACCATGGCCCGCATGTCTTCCCAACTCTTTCTGACTAATTTTCTCCTCTCTCTCTCTCTCTCTCTCTCTCTCTCTCCTCTCTCTCTCTCTCTCTCGTTGTTCTTTAAGGTCATACCTAAAGGCTGATTGGCCACCCTAAAGCACAGTTATAATAAAATGTTATAAATGCCTGATTTTCTGGGAATTGAATTTAGAGACCACTGAAGCTATAAAAGCCAGACCTCTTAAATGCTGTTGCCTGTCCTAAAAATAAGCTTGTGTCTCACGTTTCCACCCAGTGTGACCTGGCACTCACACACCACTACATGTTCCCGCACATCCTTTACAAAACAATCCACCAGAGTAACATATGTTGTTAAATGTACAGTGGTTGTGTATGCTTTGATATTGTAATCTTTAATGATTATGGCGGCATCCAATGTATGCTAGTTTAGTGAGCTGTGGAGAACATGTGGAGCACTAATCTACTGTATAAACCATATAGCGTAATGTTCTCCTTATAGGCTGCAAAGTGCTGCACGTTGTTTATGTTAGACACATCTTTGCCATATCAAATGCAGGCTGACACGCGCCCGGTTTCAGCTCCAGACGACATTTAGATTTTTCTCTCAGGGTTCAGGTGCAAATTAAAGTGTTTGTTGCCAGGTTATTGTCTTCTTGAGTTTCATTCTCAGAGCAAGATGATCAGGAGCATCTGGGAAGAAAAACTGCTGCTGTTTACATTCCTCTCTAAACCCTGAACCCCACGTCTCAAAGTGTATGGCCCACTTTTGATGTTATCCCACCTCCGTTTTACTATTTACCCCCCTTTTTCCCCCTTCCCCCAACTCAGACAGGCAGGGCCTATCCTCTGGCACACCCCACAGCCGCATGCTCACACACAAAAACTGTGGCCTGCTTCCTGTTGGCGGAGAGGGGCTGTTTTTACTGTGACTCCATTTTGGCGGAGAGGGCTAATTCCTCTGCTGTCTGGCCCCATGTATGCGTGTGTATTGTATGTGTGTGTGCGTGCCTGCATTCACATGTGCTTTTAAACATGTTTGTCTCTGCCTGCTCAGCTTCTGAACTTCTTTGGTGGGAGTTTAGGCAGTCCCTGAAATTAAACTCATATGTGTGCACATGTCATTTTATGTCCATTATGCCCACAGGATGGTTAGGCTGAGTTTGATGTGCACAGCGCGCACGGAGAGCTGACTGCAAGTATAGCGCTGTCAGAGATGTAGTCTTAATTTGGATTCATATTAAGCTGTAAAACAAATGTTAAAGTGGTGACGATTGTTGGAAAGAATTTTATTTGGGATTTCAGTCCTGTGTGATTATTTGTAGCAGTGTGGATATTAAACAGAACGTTGCTGACAAGACATTTTATATGCTGAGCAAAGGAATTTCTTGGTTAAATAAACAAAAGGGTTTCTGGTTGTATTGCCTATTTTTTAATGGAATATTTCCCCACAAGAAGATTCCTAGTAGTAAATGTGAACAAAAAGAAAAAGAAAAGCAACACAAAAACCACACAGAATATGGGATGTTCCTAGGGCTTGATTTTCAAAAACGTCCTCAGCAGACAATCATATCTTAAGCGGAGGCTCATACACGCGCTTGTGATGACTGTCAACACTGTTGTATAAAGCCAAACACTTCTGTATTTAGTTTGTGTCATAATGCTACAAATTCCAAGGTCATGCTGCAAAAAAACAAAGAAATATACTGGAATTTGACCCAGAACCCTAAGTGTCCTTGATTCCTTCACAGTATGTAAACCTGTAAAATGTAGCTATGACAATGCTCCAGAATGCATGATAAAATGTATGGTGGTTTATGTCACATTTCCCTGGTGGCTGGGCCTGGTTGGGCTGACACTTGACCTTTAATGGGTCATTTCTAGCATCTGAATGCTAGCATTCTTGGCACCAATGGATGAAATTGTCTGCTAATGCTGCTATGCTAATACAGCATGTTATATTCCGGTCCGTCCTGACCGAACAGAGCGCAGACTGCCCAATTTGAAGATGTAAACTGTCGACTCCACGCTTCTATCAACAAGACGTAGTCAGGATTAGGCCTTCAGTCACTGTAAACACCACACACCCACATACGGTCCACACTGCCTAACACACACACATGGTTTGGAATACATATAGACTTCATCTCACATCTCAGTAGCATTTTGTGTCATTTGAGGGGAGACTTTGTGACTGAAAATATTTCTCTGGCTGGTTTCATTAACCCTGCATTTCTCTCAGCCGTTTGGAAATGTCTTATTTTGGTAATTGGTTGCAGAAGTCTGAAGTCTGCATATATGCTGCATTTATCTTAGATATTCAACAAGGTTTTTTTTTTAACAATGCAGTGCTCTGGGGGTCAGAAATACTGCAGCAAAAACATTCAAACTGCACAAAGAAAGAAATCTATAATATGTATATATCTATTTATTATTACATCTTACACTTTAAATATAACTGATTTAAGGGTGTTTCTTCACAGTATAGTCATATAATTCAGTTTGCAGCTCATTTTAGGGTGGAGTACCGCTCTACACTACACTTGTACTACTTACTTTAAAGGTCCAGTGCGTAACATTTTTAGGCATCTATTGACAGAAATGGAATATATACTATATATATCATATATAGGTATGTTTTTATTAGGGTGTTATCACCTGAAAAGTATTCTTGTGTTTTTGTTACCTCCATGTTCTATGTTGAACTTCCATGTTTCTACAGTAGCCCAGAACAGTCAAATCACACACTGGTTGTAGAGAGGGCCTTCTCATGTTTTTTACAGCCAAGGTAGTTTCTCCTATGAGCTTGGAACGGGAGAGTAAGGTGAGGGGGTTGTAATCTGCAGCTACTGCATGCTGCATGTATTTGTGTGTGTTATTAAAGTACATGTATATTGCTCCCAACAGACAGTTTCTTCTGAAGGACCTTGATCCACCCCTGATTATCAGCCTGCAGACCAGCCTGTGTGACAACCAGCATTCACACACACAACTGAAACGTTAATTCTGCACAGTGACATTCAGCTAGTGAGACACAGACAGCCACTGAAGCAGCCTGTGAGATAGTTAACCGGCCTGATCAACGGGCAAACAACCAGCAGACAAGTTAACCAGACAGAAGGGCAGCCATGTTGATCATCTTAGCTTTCATCATCCTCTTCCATCTGGCTGCAGCCATCCTCCTCTTTGTTGCAACCATTCACAATGTGAGTATAAACCAAGAGGGAGCATACAAGTGCATGGCAGTACAGGACATTTTCACAGTCTTTTGTCCCCGCATCATGTAGGCGTGGTGGAGTGTGTCGGTACCCGGACGCGATACGATCTACACTGACCTGTGGTACTCCTGTAACGCCACCTGCTTTCCTGTGGAGAACAGCCATACTGCTGATGCAGGTAACACAGTGTGCAACTATGTATGTGTGTGTATATACTGTAAATTTGTGTATGTAACACCTCCTCTCTTCTCTCTCCTCAGCCTACCTGCAGGCCGTCCAGGCCACTATGATCCTGGCCACCATTTTATGTTGTGTTAGCTTCTTCGTCTTCATCCTCCAGCTCTTCAGGCTCCAACAGGGAGAGAGATTCATTTTCACCGCTATCATCCAGCTATTGGCCTGTGAGTGACACACACACTTCATTTCCATCGTCTCACTGTGTTAATATGAAGCTGCAGCTAGAAGCCAGTTAGCTTAGCTTAGCTTAGCTTAGCGTAAAGACTGCAAACAGGGGAGAACAGCTAGACTGGCTCCGTCCAAGGGTAACAAAATCCACCAACCAGCACCTCTAAAGCTCACTAATTAACAAGTTATAGCTGTCATTAATTGGTTCAGAATTAGTTGTAAAAACAAGTTCTTGGCTCAGAGCACTTCCTGGGGTCACCTGGTTGCCTGGCTACTCAGATATAACGTGTTAATTTCTTAGCTTTATAGGTGCTGGCACCAACTGGTCGCATGAGAGGACTTTGAAATGGAGTATTTCAGAGTGTGAATGAACTTTTGAGTGAAATTTCCATCTTCCTCCTCCTCTCTCCTCCCAGCTCTATGTGTGATGGTCGCAGCATCCATCTACACGGCTCAGAACAAGAGCTTTCACGTGCCCAGCCTTCAGGAAGGCTCCTACGGCTCCTCCTACATCCTGGCCTGGATCAGCTTCCCTGTGACTCTCGTCAGCGGCCTCATGTACCTGGTGCTCAGGAAACGCAAATAGATGTGACGGGCTTGATGCACAGGCATGGCGATATTCAAATATATAAATAGGAACACTTGGACACAAATGCATAAAGACATACACTTTTCCTCAACCTACATACATGCACACATTGTCTTTCTAACCGTTAGATTTTATGAAACCATGGAGGTAAGGACATACACCACAGTTCCTCACTAATGTCAAGCCTCAGGTTTAGAACCAGACAGTTCACCTATAAAGCATTCAGCAGCACATTTCTGTCCACCCTACACACTCAAAACCCCAAATAATCACACACCCTCCTCCTTCCTGATGGTACATTGTTCTCACTGAATGTAGCAAAGATGCCCAACTGACATTTTGTTTTTTGTTTTTTGTTTTTTGTTTTTTTTGTCTATTTACATGTGTGACAGCTACAAAATGTTTCTTGAAACATTTAAGGTGAGAAATACACTATTTACATTTGATGCAATACCTAGTTTAAAAAGTACTAGATCTATGCATTTGCATGAAGTTCAGATCAAATCTACAAATACAGATCAGCAAATGCACCGGACATGCGCCTTGCTACGTTCATCACTCATTCAGTGCTCTGCACAGCAAGGGCTCCTGAGGCTTTCTTGCTGCATTTAGTGAGAACATACCTTCACTATCCTCTCCCCATCTTTCCCTTTAGCCACTACACAAGACATGAGCAGTGTCCCAACATACTGATATGTCTCCTCCTCGTTTCATTGTGTCCTGCTTCCTACCATCTCCATTCATTGAAACCCTTCACAAAGGATAAAAGTTGAAGACAAGTGGGGAGATTTGTCTTACTGGGACACAGCCCCCAGGACTTTACAAAGGGTCCATACTTTTTTTTTGTGAATCTCTAGTCAATGGAATTTTTTTTGTACATATTTGCTGTGTATGTATAGTTAAGGTAATTGCAAAAAAACGTATTTTGAAGACTGAAATACAAAAAGTATATATGAAAAAGATAAAAACTAAGAATCTTATGTTAACCATAGCTTACAGGAAGTGTAGTGAAGTAGTAGTTGAGTTATAATATGTAGGATTTTAACCCTGTTCTTTGTATTCTTATGTACTGACTTGTGTTTTAATGGTGAGAAAGGAACCAATGATGTGCTGTGATGTTTGGGATTTCAAATGACAACATAGAAACATGCAAACTTGAAATAAGAATTTCTTCGTAATTGTTATGCTTTATTGTTCACAGCTTCACTGAGAAAAAAGACAAACTCTATTTATTGTTAAAAAACCACTGTTGTGTATTTTAGCATCATGTGACTGAGGATGTATGAAGTAATCAAGTCTTGCCATGTTTTTCCCTCTCTGGCCGCCTGGCTGCTGTTTATTTGGTCCAAACATTTCTAACACCTCTTATGCACATGCTATGCACTTGTGCTCCGGCATTTAACAACAATAAATTTACTGTATTGTACCTGCTACCAATTCCCAGAATTTCTTCTACTTACAGCTTGAGTGGAGGTATTGTTTGATCTCACAATAGCACTGTGAAAACTGTTTTTATATTCCTCTTTCTTTGAAACAGTTAAGGGAGGCCATCTGGGTATTAACTTTGTAGCTGCTAGAACATGAAACATTTCCAGGACACAAATAATTGTAAAGAATTAACGTGTCATTTCAGCTTGGACTTGTTGGCTCCTTCAGAGGTGCATTGGGTTGTTTTGTTGTAGGAATATGTTCGTGTCGAGCAGCGTTTGGACCACAGAGCCTGGTCTGGTCTGGACTATCTCACCGAATTATGAAGATTCAGGGAAAAGACATGGAAGTGAAGATGTTGCTCTGCTATCTTAAGATGATACTTGAAAATGATCAAAATAACATATTGGAGGCCAGGATTGTGATGTTTGTTGTTGTGAAGTTGTCATCATAAGAGTGTTTCACTAAATAACACTCATGTTTGCATGCAAGTTCTTGTCTTTCAGCAAATCCCTTTAACTTATATTGGGTTGAAAAGTTAAGTTATTGCAGTACAAAAGGCTGAAAAATGTTTTTTTTTTTGGTGGAACACTGTTTATTATAGATTATGTAAAGTTTGGATGTATTTGAATGGCTTTGTTGACTTCAAAACAGATCTGAATTTAGAATTAACTAAGTTTTGTGCAAACTGAATTAAAGAGAAACCACAGGAAGTACCACAGTTTAGTTATTAGAGTCACTCTTGAGTTGGGATTGGAAATGTTTTGGTTTGTGTTTGTGATCATTTCCCAGTAGTGTGTTTTATTAATGTAGTTTATCAGTGTCAATGTAGATGTACCGTATCTTGTAGCTCTATACAGATAACCACAGGACCATAGTGATGAATAATAAAAATCTAAATAATGAGTTGTTTAAGCTAAAACTGTATTCATGGGGAATTGTTTTTTTAAACATTTTTTTGCAGTTGGAATATTTCTAATGCTTCAAGAAGTATTAACTCCACATTCATTGAGAGGCTCATGATGCTTAATGGAGACATGTTGAGATGGTCAATGTTTTCAGAACCTTAAATTAAAACAATAATTTTCCTTTTATAGGATTCATCCAAAGGTCTTATATGTATGGGTTTATATGTCATGTTAAATGGGAGTGTTTCTGCCTGTTAGATGCTCCTTTATTTTTTCATATTTTAGGGAAATTCAATAACAACATGCTATTCATTTTGACCTCTATTGCAACATCTGTGGCAGTTTCAGTCATCTGTAAGATACAGTGTTTTCATGTACTCACGTCATCAAACTAAAGTGTTTGTCTGCTATTGACACCCAGTGGACTGAGAGAAAACTACACAATGTTTATGTAGCTGCTAGTTTTATAGTTTCAGGTAATCTGCTCTAATCTCAGAACAGATTGGGCAAAAAAAAAAAGGACTAATTTCCCCTGCAAGAATTTATTGGTGCTTATTTTTTCTTTTTTCTTGTTGCCCCCACTCATCAGATGTATATCTCAATAAATGTATTTTACAATAAATACATTTTCTTTGTGTGTGCCAAATTTGTCCATCTTTACTTGTTATACACGGTTAGAGCCTGCTTGCCCTCTTCCCCCTCACTGCACTGCAACATTACTGCTTTACTTATTTTTAATTTTTCAAAAGCTACTATCTAAAATCTGGTAATGGTCTGGCTGACATAGTCCATAATTACACTTACACTGTAACAAGACTAATTAATGAGGAGTTTTACTATTTATGCCATTCTCTCTATAGGTCCATTATCTTTGATCTCTGAGCTTGCTTTGTTTGTTTTTTTATCATGTAAATGTGTTTCGATGTTGTGAAAGAAAAACCGGTGATGTGCTGAAAGTAAAAGCAACAATCAAAAAAGCTGTCACCATTGTACAGTGTGGCAGGTTTTGAGGGCCTGTGTTTTTTTGTTTTTAATTTACACAGCTAAAGACAACAGTTTATTGTGGGAAATGTATGTTTGCCATACTTTGTTATAGCAAGGGCTCTACGGCAACACTGGGGAGACATACCCAAAAGAATGACCTGATGCCAAAAAAAATCTCTCTCTCTCTCTCTCTCTCTCTCTCTCTCTCTCTCTCTCTCTCTCCCCTGTACACATCAGCACATGCCAATTGCGTTACAACTACATTATAGAAAAGTAACGGCAACAATTTGCAACATCGTGTACCAAAAATATATAAAATTAAAGCTGCAAGCAGCGTTGGGCGGGACCTCGCGCTCCACGCAACTCGGGGCGTGCTGCGGCTGCGTCACGTGCCGTCGTAACACATTCGGACCACAACATGAAATTTTCACGTCATCCAACTCAAACCCTCACCGCCAGAAGCTGAGGGAGAGCACTCTACGTTGTCACACGTTTCAGACACTGCAAAAGACTTACGCTTTCATAGAAACTCTTCACTGCGAAAGGTGGAAATTCTGCGCCACGCCACGGACACACAGTTCAGTTCACACAAAAATCTGTAGGAGTTAGTAAAAATAGAAGCCCTGAAATGCCGGAAATGGCATCACAGTGGCCGACTTTGACGGCATGCCATGGACACGCCCTTCAACGTACAGTCACAAAAAGCACAACTATTAATCAGCAACATTTTTCAAGTGTACTGTCCAGTTTTGAAGCAGATCCGATAAATTCCCTAGGAGTTCGTTTGTTCAAATACAAGACCACAGAATTCAAAATGGCCAACTTTGACGGTACGCTTCAACGTACAGTCACAAAAAGCACGGCGTTCAGTCAGCAACATTTTTTGACTGTACTGACCAAATTTGAAGTCAAGCCGATAAAACCTGTAGGAGGAGTTAATTAAAAGAGAATGCTGAAATGCCAGTAATGGCATCACAGTGGCCGACTTTGAGGACATGCCACGGACACGCCCTTCAACGTACAGCCACAAATACCACGGTGTTCGGTCAGCACTATGTTTTGACTGTACTGACCAAATTTGAAGCAGATCCGATAAATTCCCTAGGAGTTCGTTCAAATACAAGGCAAAAATTCATCAAAAATGACCATGGAAGTCAAAATGGCCAACTTTGACGCCACGCCACGGACACGCCTTTCAACGTACAGTCGTAAATAGCACGGCGTTCATTAAGCAACATTTTTTGACTGTACTGACCAATTTTGAAGCAGATCCAACGAATTACCTAGGAGGAGTTCGTTCAAATACAAGCCCAAAAAGTGAAAATGACCACAAAATGGACGCCGTGAGTGAAAATTAAAAATGAAAATAGCCGACTTACTGTGGGTTTAGGGCATGGATCCAAGAGGCTTTTTTGTACGTCTCGGCACGTTACACATGCCTACCGAGTTTCATACATATCGGCGAAACGTGGCACCGGGGCTGCTTTTTAAAAATCCTGTAGGGGGTGCTACAAACACGACAAACACGATTTTTGGAACGTGACCTACAAGCACCAGTCTACACGTGTCCTGTGAATTTCATATTCATAACTATTACGGTTTCCGCAGAGTGATTTATCCGGCCTAGTGGCGTGATTTTTTTTCCTTTTTAGGGGAGCCTCAGGGAGCAATGGGCAAGCATCGTACCAAGTTTAGTTTTAATCACACTTGCCGATGCAGAGATATAAACTTCTTAATTTTAAACAGCTCCACCTTGTGGCGATGGCCTGAAATTGTGCACGATCCCTAATGAAGACATGGGGAACTATTGACCCAGGGTTGGTGTCAATCGGACATACCAGTGTGGAGAGATGCCCCACTTCCTTTTTTGACGAAAAATCAACAAGAAGTGCTAATTTATAATGTGCTTATTTTTGGAACTTTTTTTGCCAGGACGGTCTCCAGATGCGTGAAAAGTTTCATGCGAATCGGACAAAAGCGCATGGATGGAACATGGATTGGACATTTCGCGCTCTAGCGGAAAAAAAAATCTAGGCGGAAGTGGGCGTGGCCAATATAGGGAGATGCAACTCTATTCACAGAATGCGTGGGTATAAGGTTTTTGAATGTGAGACAAACGATGCGGGAGTTATTAGCCTAAACCTACTTTTCTAAATAGTAGCGCCACCTAGTGGCCGAGCCGAATGTGACGCATAGAATATCAAATTTTTTACCAGGCCTGACCACTTTGCCAAATAAAATTCATCCGATGTAAATGTTCAGGGGGTCAAAAATGCAGTGAAAGGGGCTAAGCGTAATAATAAACATAACAAAAACAATAGAGACCTCACAGTGTTTGACACTGGCTCAGTCCCTAATAATATAATGTTATTTCTGGCAGACAGCTTGGCACTGTTTGGTGGACTTGATAAAGTTACAAAACATCCAACACATCATTAAAGTGCTCTTTTAAGGCAACTGGATTATAAGAATCAGAAGAGTTGATAGAAGCATACAATTGTGTATCATCTGCATAAAAATGAAACAGTATACCAAGGGGAAGCATGTAAAGTGAGGGCCCAGAATCGATCCTTGAGGTACACCACAAGAAGGTTTTGCAGATGAGGAAATTAAGTTCAAAAGAAAAATGCCAGTCGGAATGATCTGAGCCACATATTTAATGTTAATGTAAAGACCTATATGAAGACCTAAGATATGTCTCTACTCAAGAAGACATCATAGAGCCGTAAAAGTATCACTATTCTTCCAACAATCGCTGCACTTTTAAATATACTAAATTTGTCTCCTTCCTAAAACATTTCTCTTTCTCTTTCTCTCCAACACACATTTTACTCTCCATTGCTTTCCAGAAAAGGGATTCCTCAAACACCCTTTGGGATAAAAGGTAAATGGATTGTCAGAAAAAAATAGAAGAACTCTTGTGGTTCCCCTAATAAATGTTTAACAATCAGAAAAAAATTTCTGGTTACATAAAACATAAAAGGTGTAAACTTTACCTTTTCAAAACGCCTCTTCATGTGCTGGATGATGTTTATTACATGGCGAACTTCTTCATGCCAACTTCCTTTCAATCTCAGCCTAGCCTACAGTTTTTGTACTAAAATATAGTGAGAAATCAGTGGCGTCAATATATGAAGCCATCGGTCACTAGTCTGTTGTACAGTTTCATGGGGCTATGATTATCCTGGAAGTCACAATAGCTCATTTTAACAATGGTCTCACTACAATGAAATGGTTACTAGGGGAACAAACATCATCACACATGAATACAATTGGGCTCATTGGAGAGTCTAGCTTTCCAGTCGCATCCAATTTATGCAATTCCAATACTGTTTGAGGACCGTAGTATGCAGAAATATACAAATGCACACCTACTGCTTACAAAAAACTGCATAGGATTAGCATAAAGTTCCTGTTTGTAAGGGGGACTCGTGGGAACCCATATAACTAATTTTTTATTCAGACAGGGGTCAGAGGTCAAGGGACCACTTTAAAAATAGCCATGCCATTTTTGCCATTGCCAAAATCCAGCCTAACTTTGGACCATTATTGCAGAAACTAGGTAACTATCATCATTCTTGTTGAATAACTGGCATTATGACCGAAACCAACCTTAAACTGCGTTCAGGAGCTGCTCCTTGTCACCGGGACCAAAGTATCAGAGGATTGTTGCAACACAGACCTTTTCTCTTGTAACACACGAAGTGCTGCAAATGCTTATTGTACTAGCTGCTACCACTAGCTTGTTAGCGGCGCTATTAGCTGGGAGTGCTAAAACAAGCCAGACGAACCATATTTTGTCACAGATTTCTGACTCATGTACAACTGTCCTGTTACGTTTGTCGTATTTACACAAATACGACAAACAATTTATTTTTATAAAAGTTACCTGTTAAAGGATGTATTTCAATAATTGAATTAATATTATAAAGGTTCAATGACTAGTGGACTAGATCAATCTGGGGCAGCCTTATTTTGCTTGAGGGTAATTTAAAGCATCTAGCTATACACTGAGGGAGGAAGATCAAGGGAGAGTAACGTAAAATGTTGCTGCTACCAAACAAATTAATTATTTAATTTCAGTAGGAACATCATGTAGAGAGCAGTGACTGGTCCATCAACGAAAATCTGATTGGACTTTGGACTTTACCGTATATTAAACACACATAATGACAGAGAAGACTAGATAAAATACAGTTTAATTCAAATTCTCCAGCCTGTATGCAAGAACCTGAGAGCCATAAAGCAGTTCTCAGTCAGCCTGATTGGACTTGAGAATATTTTCCAATCCTGTGGCAAAACCTTACATTAGAGACAATCTAATTCCCTACTTCAAGCCAAGTGAGAGCAGAGAACCATTAGTGGCATTGTGGAAATATACCTCAGGCTCTGCACTTAAATTCTACCTATCTATCTTTTCTTTCCTATAGTTTCTTCACCTCCTCACAGAGTCAAATAAACTGTTCGGTTTACAACGAACAGAATCTGTTCTAATCAAACTGCTGAACAAGTTTTTATCTTCTGCTCCTTGAAGCATGATGTAGCAAAAAAGAGTGATTTATACAACTTTCCTCCCTCACTCCTCTTTTCTCCTCCTCCTTTCCCTTATCAATAATAAATCCTTTCTCTGGCCAGTTTAGCTCTGTGGTGGAGTCTAAAGGG